TTCATCATCCTTCCTCTTCCATGCACCATCAAAAACTTCATCACCACCAGACCTTGAGCAGCAGCCGCAAAGCTAGCATAACTACCGGGGAGAAAGAGTGAAAGCTAGCCCAATCGGGGAGCTTTTTGGCGGCTCTTGCCTTCATCCGGGTGTTTTTGTTTTAATTATTTAATTTAGATTTTTAGGATTATGTCTCTAAATATTGTTGAATTATTTTTGATAATGTTTAGTGGCTAAATTCTTTTAACCTAGGGCTTGGATGTAGCCGTCGGATTTATTTGGTTTATTTGATTCATGATACTTTGATATATTCATTGATCAATATTTAATATTCTTGCTTTTATTCCATGTTTGTAACTGGCCACTACTTGCATGTTTAAAGATATTAATTGATAGAACGACAATTGAAAATTAATATTAGTTCATGGGAATATTGGACTTAGGTAGTGAACCACGATAGTAGGAACACAACCTTTGCAACGTTAGATTCTTAAGTTCTTAATGTGCTTTGTTAATCCTATAGTCACGAGAGTAGTCATAGGGTTAATCTAAGTAAGAGAATTATAGCGCGAAAGTGTGTAGTTTTTAATTAGGTGAATCGTTGTGAGATTAATGGAAGTTAAAAGTCAGATATTTATGAATTGAATCAAACCAAATATTCGGTAGGTGAACCCAATGTCCTAGGTTTTCCCAACTTGATTGTTTCAACCTTTGAAAGTTATTGCAATTTTAGATTTTTAGGTTTAGTTTTATTTAATCCAAAAATTTGAAATCATCATTTATCTTGATAATAATCGAAGTAATTTATACCTGGTAATTAGTATTTCTTCTCTGTAAGTACGATCCTATTTTCCGCTATACTAGTGTTAAGTAGGTAAATTTATTCAACTAGTTGTGACGACGGCTTGTCATATTTGGCACCGTTGCCGGGGAAGGCAGCTAATATCGAATTCAGATTACTTTCTTTTATTAGTTTAGATTTGTTTTTATTTTATTTATTTTATTTTCTTGCTATTTTAGTTATTTGGTTCAAATATTTTTGTCTTGTTTTTATATGCGAAGTGCTAATCCTGAGACTTTGCAATTTGATCCAGATATAGAAAGAATAGCTCGTGCAAATAGAAAAGAAGCAAGGCTAAGAAAGGAGAAGAATCAGAGTGAAACCATGGGTGATAGAATTCGAACACTGAGGGATTACTTCACACCTACGGAGAATGTTGCTAGGTCAAGTATTACTAGGCCTACCATTGCTGCGAATACCTTTGAGCTCAAGCCAGGATTGATCCAGATGGTGCAACAGAATCAATTCTCCGGTTTTAACAATGAGGATCCAAATGCACATATTGACAACTTTTTAGAGATCTGTGATACTATTAAGATAAATGGTGTGACGTCAGATGCAATCTGGCTGAGACTTTTTCCTTTCTCGCTGAGGGGAGAAGCAAAGAATTGGTTGAACACTTGCGATCCTGGTTCTATCACAACTTGGGATGAACTGTACAAAGAGTCCTGATCAATTTCTTCCCACCAAATAAGGCAGCAAAATTGAGAAATCAAATTACTGGGTTTATTCAAGAAGATGATGAGACATTTCATGCTGCATGGACAAGATTCAAGGAATTGCAAAGAAGATATCCTCACCATGGTATTGAGAAAAGTACTCTAGTTCAGACTTTCTATCAAGGATTGACAGACTTTGCAAGAAACAATGTGGATGTTGTAGCTGGAGGTTCATTGATGGATAAGTAAATTGATGAAGCCTATGAATTGTTTCAAATTATGGCAAAGAATAAGAATCAATGGTCGAACTCGAGAAGTGTTTCCAAGAAGACTGCTGGAATGTATGAAGTCAATGAACTAAGTTCCATGAGCGCAAAGAATGCACAAATGAGGACTGCCGATATCAAGTTCGGTGTAAATCGAGCAAGGGGAATCTGGTAATATTGAACTATTTCTCCAAATAGGGGGTACAGGGGAAATCTTAGCCCTAAGAACATAAACCTATCATATACGGTTATTTTCCCCTCTGGAGGTGTAGTAGCCCTTACTTATTCCTAAAGGTGCTCGATAATCTAGATCTACAGAGAAATCGTATTTTCTGGCTATGGCTTGGGCTTTATCGTTAGAGTTTATGGTGGAAGCGAAGTCGGAAACTGTACGTGCAGCCATATCTACCACAGTATATGCTAAGGCAATAAGATTCTGGAAAAAAACAACAACAACAGCATACACTAATAACAAGAGGGTTGAAGGACTCACTTTTATTAGAATTTGAGGGTGGACCTTTTGGATGATATTCGCCTGGGATGATGGGTATTCTCAGTTATAGCAGGTGCTACAATTTCCGGCGGCAGAACAAGCGATTAAGTAGCAACAGATGATGCGTAGGGGCAGGAGAGGTGCTTCTGCGTTTTCAAATTCAGAGTTTTGAGAAAAAGGAGGAGAAAAAAAAGCCATTGGTTTCCTTCTTGATATAAACGAATTTCTTTCCCACGTTTCGACGGTTTGGGCGGGGTTCAAGGGCAGTAATGATGACACGGGCATTGTTTGGGAAACGTGCACATTATTGGGGCACGATATCCGTTTAGGCGGGATTTCTGAATTGGGTCGCCTTCTCAGTTCGGGCCTTAACCCGCGCATAATTCATGTGATCCATTTTGTACCCATTGGGCTGAGACTTGTCCAATCGGTTTTGCTTCATACAACTTGGGCCGGGTCCGTGTATTATTTATTTTGTGTCAAGTCTTGTTTATTTCATACAATTAACACTTGACAGGGGTACTTGACGAGTCCGTATCCACCAAGGATTACAGGAATGGCCCATCCACCAATTAGGGCTTAACCGGCCTTGTAGAGCCGGTTAAGGAAGATGCTTCCTAATGGGATTCAGCTTCCCTGGAGGTAATTCCATGCCTATAAATAGGATTAGTCTCACCACAATTGAGGTACGCTATCTTTGGCACCAATTTCCATACACAGACTATTTCGCAATCCTATTTTCTGACTTAAGCTTCTGTGTCTACCCTCGGGAGGCCTCGAGGCTCTGTTTTGCAGGAAGTCCTAACCGGAATTCCACCACTAGACCGGAGGTGCAATTCCAGGTATCGCCACTAACTTTCTAATTTTATATTTAATAAATAGGGCAAATTTAAATTAAGCAGTAGTGGAGACTAAATAATTAATAAAGAGAGCAATAAATTTGAATAATTTATATTAAGAGCATAACAATTCAACCATACAAACATGACTTTAAGTTTTAACTATTAATAAAAACCTATTCACATCAATTTTAAAACCTTTAAAGTTCATTTAATCTATTTTTCTCAGTTACCCTGATTAAAATAAAAATACTAAAATGACCAAAGACCAAAAATACTTAAAGATACAAAATTTTTGATATTATCAAATTTAAATTTTTTTTCACTAATATAAAATATGGGAGTAATTTAATTAACTCTAATAAAATATGTTGTATGGCTCATTTAAAGCACAGGTTCTTGGGGTAAAAATCGACTAATATAAAAGTGGGAAAAAAATTTACTTCGAAAATTAACATTATACAAAAAAAAAATCTCCTATCAGCAATTAAGAATTATTAACCTTTATTTTTAAAGTAAACATAACTGTATTTTTTTTATCATTTATACATTACTTTTTCCATATTGATAGTAAAATATTACCATCATTAAAAGATTTAATTTATGTGTTGAATGTGTTGAAAAATAAATTGAGAAAATAAGATGATTTTATTTCAAGAGTTAGAGTCATGTTTGTTTAATTATTATGACAAATTATTCAAGAGTACTGCCTCTTTACTAATTACTTACTGTCCACTACCCCTAATTTACATTCCATAATAAGGATAATGCCAATCCTTTTGATTTGTATCATTTAAAATTTCAATACACTTATGAGTGATATAAAAAAATTTTAACATGTAAAAAAATAATTTCTAGCTAATTGTATTAAAAATGGCATATATTTTCGAAGGAGTAGTAAATACAACAACGCGAATGAATTTGGGATAAAACCAGGATGTAGGTGATTGATTCAACATCACATGATGGTGATTGAGAAGGTGTATGGTTGGCATACATGTGATGTTCTTCAAAATTTTTAAAATTCATTACCACTAAGTAGGGGGATGGAACATTACTTGACATGTTAATGAGTTGGAACAATCAATATTCGAGAAACAAAATCGTGGCCAGATGAGCTACAAGTCTCTTTGTATTCCTAAGTAGTCAAATATTGTTGTTTACCAGTTTTACAATCAACGGTTGACCTTGGTGATTAGATTCCTTGCAGGAAACGTGATAACATGGAAAGAATCCGGAACAAGATTGAGTTTGGAGCAGCTGGAAGATTGATAAATAGTTTACCGCCGGCGCATTGAGATTTTTTTTTTTCACCCTTAAAGTTCATTGTAAAATGGTGCAGGAAAAGTCAACATTCATAAATCTTTTGATTTTGTGTTAATAATGGAATTTAGATCAAACTACTACATTTCAATGCTTCTTCTTATATTAGTGAAATTTCTGGAAATCAATATACCAATATACATATATATATATATTGATTTACATAAATATATCGGACCACATTGGAAACAGTCTCTTTATAATAATCACAAGGCTTTGTTGCCAAATGATTGTGCAGGTTAGATTCTTATTATTGGTAAAAATTATACTAAATGTAAAAAATCAAATAGCAAAGTAATGGAGAAAGTATTTGGATCTGAATCTAATCGAATGAGCCAAATTGTAAAGCATGGAGAATCCCCACAAAGATTTCTAGGCAAGTTATCTGCTGCGATTTTGAGGTTGCACGGTTTAAATAATGTATCCCTTCACATGGCCCGTCCTTCCCCTGTTCATGGTTTGGTGGATTCTATTTAAATGGCTGAAATTGAAATGGAAGGCAAATTAACCAGAACCAGAACCAATAAGCTAGAGTGAGAGAAAGAGAGAGAGATGGAAGCTGGTGCCAAGATAGAAATAATGTCGAGGGAGTTTGTCAAACCCTCAACTCCAACCCCTGAAGAAAAGAGAGAGCTTAAACTGTCGTTTCTTGATCAACTTCAAGGGCTTACTTTTATTCCTTTTCTTTTCTTCTATCAAAATGAGCAGCCTAGAGCTGAGTCAAAATCCGAAACAACAACAACCACCCTGCGTTTAAAGCAGTCTTTGTCGGAGTGCTTAACCAAGTTCTATCCCTTAGCAGGCCAGCTCAACCCGGATGATCATCATGTTTCCGTCAAATGTGTGACTCTGGAGCTCTATTTATTGAAGCCAAGCTTGATGTTTCCCTCTCAGAAGCTGTGCAGAATCCGTCTCTTGAGAGTTTTGCGCAATACTTGCCATTTGAGCCACTTTCCAATGATGTTACATTGTTGGGTAGTTACCCGAAAAATGAAATACCCCTAGCGGTACAAATTGTTAACAGACTCTCTCAAGATCAAGATCAAGTCACTTCCGAAATTGATGAATCCGAGTGTGAGGTGCAATAAGGTGTATCGAGTTATAAGGCTGATCAAACTCATCAATGATGAGATATGTTTGGCTGTTAAGAAATCCTAGAGTATCTTGAAATCCTAAAGATTGATTGCTTCCAATAATTACCAAAATTATCTAGTAAACTAGGTTAGTCTTATCCTTGTAGTTTACTATAAAAAAGGCTCTTCTATAAATAAAGAGCCACTCGTACAAAGAAGCATTGAGTTAGAAAAAAACAGAAGCAATACAATCTCTGTTTTAAGAAACAAAATTACTCAGTCAAAACAACTAATCTAGGGTTATAGTTTACGTTTTTTATCTTGGTATCAGTAGGTTCATCCTGCGGCCATTCTTTTCTCTTCCTTTCGCTTCCGCGTTTCTGTTGTTTTTGCTCCATCATGTCGTCTGTCCCTCTATCCTTGAATGTTGGCAATTTTATCACTCTCAAGTTGTCATCCACCAATTTCCTTTGTGTCGTGAGCAGGTTCTTCGGCTCGCTGAAAGTCAGTCATTAATCGAACATCTCACAAACCCTCCTATGAATGATCCTAAACAATCCTCCTCTGCTGCTGAAAAAGTGTCCGCAGATTCAGTCGAAAAATTTCAGACGTGGCAACCGGCTGATCGACTTTTGTGGGGTTGGATAATTGGCACGCTCACAGAAGAGTCCCTTGGTCTCGTTCTTGGCCTTAACACGGCCTATGCTGTTTGGACAGCTCTAAAAGACAAGTATGCACGGGATTCTCAAGAAAGAGAGTTTACTCTCCATCAACAACTCACATATCTTTGGAAGGATCCGAATACCACTATAGCTGCTCACATTTGTGTGTTTAAAGGGCTGTGTGACAGCCTTGCTGCGATTGGGAAACCAACTCCCGAGCAAGAAAAAGTCTATTGTTTGTTGAACAGCCTTGGTCCACACTTCGAAACTTTCACCACAACCATGCTCAAACCTCCACGACCCACGTATTCTGAATTAGTTTCTCAACTTCAAAACTTTGATCAGCCCCGTAATTGGTTTTCTACTCAACCTGACGCCCAGTTTACTCCCCATACTCCACACTTAGCCTTTTACAGTAATCAGACCAAATTCTCGTCTTCTGCCTCGCCCAAAAATAATCAATCCCGCTTCACTTCTCAAGGTCGTGGCTTTCCCGCTCAACAGACCTTGTCGTGTCCTGTTACTTCATCTACCAAACCCAACACACCTCGCAAGCCAGCTCCTCCTGGTCAGAGACGGATGACAACTTCGGAACAAGAGTTGTATCGCAATCAAGTTTGTCAGATTTGTGGAACTCCTGGCGACGTCGCCAAAATCTGTTGGTGGCTTCCCAAAGCTTCTCCACCACCGGCTGATCTTCCTCAAGCTCTTGTTACCTTGACACTCGATAATTCCGTGGCTGATCATGAGTGGTCCTCGGATATAGCCGCGACAGACCATATGATAGGCACATCAGGTATGTTGTCCGATATCTGTCCTTATCATGGTTCTGACTCTATTATGGTTGGCGATGATTCGTTAATACCTATCACAGGAATTGGTCAGTTGATGCTTAAACAAAAAACTCATGTTTTACCTCTACAAAATGTTCTCTTTGTTCCTGACTTGAAAAAGAATTTGCTTTCGGTTAGCAAACTCACTACTCAATTTCCCGTTAATTGTGAATTTTCTGACTCTCTTTTTTGTATTAAGGACCGCCAGACAGGTCATACTCTCATGAAGGGGCCAACGAAGGGTGACTTATACACCATCTCTAATTCTACCGAAGCATAATTTTCCTATAGGTTTCAATCTGGCAATGTTGAGTTATGGCATCAACGCCTTGGCCATCCTCAGTTTTCATCCATTCAAAGATTAAAAAATAAAGGTCTTATTGATGTAACTGGCTCTTTGAGAACTAGCCATCTATGTGATAGCTGTCAACTAGGCAAGCTTAGTAAACTTCTATTTTCGAATTCTGGCTTTGTGGCTTCGTCTGTGTTTGAAAAAATTCACTATGATTTATGGGGCCCTGCTCTTGTTTTGTCTGTTGGAAATTTTCGTTTCTATGCATGTCTTGTCGAGGATTATACAAAGTATACATGGCTGATTCCTTTAAAGCATAAATCCAATTTTGTTTCGGCCTATTTTGCTTTTGAACAGTATGTGGCTCGACAATTTGAAAAAAAAATAAAAATTTTTCAATCTGATGGTGGCGGTGAGTTTGTTAATTCTCAATTATCCTCTCATTTTCTTGCTACAGGTACTATTCATCAAATATCTTGCCCTTACACCCCGGAACAGTCCGGCACGGTTGAACACCGACATCGCGTTATTCGCGAACTTGGCATGACCATGTTGTTCCATAGTCATGCTCCTCTTTCTTTATGGATAGAGGCTTTTAGTACTGTTGTTTATTTGCTTAACCGGCTTCCCCCTTCCACCATTCAATTCTCCTCCATATTTTATGTTGCATCAAAAGGAACCTGATTATTCTTCTTTACGAGTTTTCGGTTCCAAATGTTTTCCGTATGTGTGGGATACAAAAAAACATAAGTTTGATCCCAAATCCATTCTTTGTGTGTTTGTTGGCTATAGTGATAAATATAAAGGGTATAAGTGCTTTAATCCCGTCACAAAAAAAATTTTGGTATCCCGCCATGTAGTGCTCGATGAAAGTGTTTTTCCTTTTAAATCTCCTTCTCGAATTCCCACTCCTCCTCAGGTGCATCATATATTTGATTCATGGCTCGAGTTAGAAACTAATGATGACTTGAGCTTGACTACCATTTTGTTCGGGAACGAGTTGCTCGTGGATTTCTTGTCACCAAACATGTCTCATCGGATCAACAAGTGACTGACATTTTCACGAAACCAGTGACTGACATTTTCACGAAACCAGTGACTAAAGCTGCTCCTCCCTTCTTCCGCTCCAAACTATGCCTCCTTCACGCAACCAGTGACTAAAGCTGCTCTTCTCTTCTTCCGCTCCAAACTATGCCTCCTACCCTAGCACAGTTTGAGGGGTGACGATGCACGGATATGCGCCGCCGGTTTAACAGTGGAACTCCGGTTAGGGTTTCCTGCAAAACAGAGCCTCGGGGTCTCCCGAGGGTAGACACTCCGATGCTTAAGTCAGTAAACGGAATTGCTAGAAAGTTTTGGGAGGTAGTATGTTTGGCTTATAGATTGCGTACCTGAATTACTGTATGAGCTACCCTATTTATAGGTATGTGATTACCCGGATCATTCCGAATCCCATTAGGCTTTAGGGATTCCCACCATCCTAAGAGTCCTAGTTGGATTCTTCTTATGGTGAGTGGGCCGAGACAATCTCAGTCATGGATCTGGACTCGTCAAGTGCCCCTGCCAAGTGTTAGTGAAATGAAACAAAACAACGCTCGGCATAAAATGAGCATTACCTGAGACATGCCCGAGGGTGGATAGATCGCCCTCGTTCAGCTAATTGTCGAGGCATATGCCTAACAAGCTCGGTGCTGACAGAACCGGTGGGTCGGGCCGTGGTCCAGGAAGGCGACCCGCTTCCCCAATCCCGCTCAAATTTTCAATTATGCGTTATTAGCAGGCACGTTCCCCAAACGGCAGCCTCAACATCATTACTTCCTTGAAACCTGCAATAACTGTCAGATCGTGGCCCATAATTAAGGAGACGTGGGAGAATCAACTTTATGTTTAAAAGAGAAAAAACTCCTACTACACCCGGACACTTAACCATTTCTTTTCTCCGTAAAAACCACAAAAATCTTTTTCTTTGCAAAGAGCATTTCAGTTCCCATTTCGCTTCCTTTCCAGAGTATCCGAAATTCTTTTTCAGGCTGGAATTTTCACAATTTGACCTGATATACTGCCCCAGCGATGCTGTTTTCCAGGGGAGCTCCGAATTGAGGCTTCTAGGCAACACTGGGAGTTACAATTCGAAGGGCGAGTGGTCACGTCCCCCTTACACAGTAAGTTTCCAGATATGAATCTCCGATTCGTTCCGTTTCCTTTCGTCTGTTCCTACAGTAGATTTTTCCAGAGTTATGGTTAGGGATTCCGAAGGAAAAACTGTTCTAGACTTTGCTTCCACCATAGACTCGGTGGATAAGGTAGAACATCTCAGATCCAAGTATGATTTTCCCTCTGCCCTGCAGGCGAGGACTCCGTTAGGAAACGAGAGGGCCAATTCTCCTCCAAGGAGAAGAATTACTGTATATGATCGATTTATGCATCTAGGGCTTAGATTTCCCCTTTACCCCCTGTTTGAGGAGATTGGTCAACATTATAGGACTCCTCTCGCTCGTTTTACCCCAAATTTAATTACATTTGTACTGGGTTTGCGAGAGTGTGCCAGTATGTAAAGGTGGTACCTCGATTGATATTATGGAGGTACTTTTTCCAAGTAGTTGTGGCCTCGACTTCTTTTCAAGATTGGTATATAGTTAAAAGACGCCTTAGAACCGGCGTGAAGAAAATGGTTGAGGCGTATGGCGGTTCTCCGGAATGGAAACCGGATTTTGTGTTTGTAAAGGCGCCTGCAAGTTATTGTCTGCCATGGAATCTTTGTGAGACAGAGGGCCTTGGGGCCATAAAAGATGACTGGAGCCAAGAGGATGAAGAATGTGTCGAGGAGTTCCAGGCAGACGTTGAGAAAATTCTGAAGTATATGAATGTCGTTAAGTGGAATGACGTCCAATACTATGTGCCCCCTGCATATGTGAAGGAAGATGATACGGTCATCGTCGAGGGAGCAACCAGAATTTCCCTCGAAACCTCTGATCAAGGTACTAATCATTCTCTTCTTTTTTTCCTTTGTTGTTAGGTCATGTCGTCGAGCAATGCTGGGTCTCGATTGTTTGGTGACGAAGATCCTTTTGTCATTGTGAATTCAGATGAGGATGTTACCGTTACTACTGCCCCCCAGAAGAAGAAGAAGAAAAGGATCGTGAAGGTGGGTGACAGGGCAAAGGCCAAAAAAGGCCAAGACGGATGCGCCCCCAAGGGAAACTGCCCAACCAAGTGTCAAGACGGTGC